GGGTGGCAGGGGCGTTGGGAAATGAGGCTCCGGGCAGTGAGGAGGGAGGATTCTGTGGCTTCAAGCAAAGAGACTGGGGTTATGCGTGTAGCGTGTGCTTCTCTGTTCAAAAGTGAACTGGGAGCCATGCAAGGTCAGGCCTAGAGCCCTCACATTTCTCAGGCTGGAAGCAGACCGCTTAGCTGACTAAAATAAAACTTTTCCTTTGCAAAAAAACAACAACACCCCGTCAAACAAATATGTGAATTAGAACCAAAACAGCCTGCCCTACAGGTCCTGAGAGGAGTGACTTTTTGAGCTGACAGGATAGTGGGAGGAGGGGAGAAAGCTGTGTCAGCCTCAGGGGGTTGAGGAAGCTTTGGGAGAGAGTCAGCCCCACCTCCTACCACTGAAGCACTGCCCACTGCGTGCTCAGTGACACCCTTGGGGGTCACAGTGTGTGTGCGTGCACGCGCGTGTGTACGTGCGTGTGCGTGTGCGTGTGATGCCTCTGTTCCTTCCTCCCCTTCTGCTCCTGCCCCACAATCAAACCTGTGTGCTGCCCTCATACACACCCAGAGATGAGCTTCCGGGCCCAGCTCCTGCCTGGCCCTGTGGCTGCTGCTTAGGGTGGGAGGGTGACATGTGCAGCACTAGCAGGCAGGGCCTCCATGAGGCAGGAGGTGCCTCCATGGCCATTGCTCCTCCTGGCTCCCCTGATCCCAGGGACCCAGCCCCTGTTCTCAGACCCCTTTGGAAGGTTTTGTCCAATAGTCGTCAGCACACTGAGGTCTTGACAAGTCAAAGACTGTGTGTGAATCGTCTCTCTGCAAACATTTGGGGCCCATTAGCCTGGAACTCCAGAGCAGCCCTCTGCTGGCTGTGTGCACAGTGGGGCCTGTGCACACACTCTGGCAGATTCAGCTCCTCTGCTGGGCTGGGTGGGCCCTGCGGGGCCCGTCCACATACCGTTTCCGACTGTCCGTAGAGCTGGTAGAGCAGAAGGACTGTCCGTTGTCTCCACTTCACTTGCTCCTCGGGCAGCACGGCCTCCCCGCCAGTAGAGCAATGCTCCAGAGTGGGGAACCTGAGTTTGGGGGAGACAAGGTGTCCACAGAGCTTCAGAGCAGGCCCTGGACGCTCCTACCTAGGACCAGGAGTAAGGAGCCCATCCACCTTTCTGCTTCCTCACTTTCTTCCTTGCCTTCCGGGTGGACGTCATTCACTTCCTGTCTGTCAGTCCCTGTGAACTGTTCTTCAGGCGGGGAGGGGGAGCGGTGGTGGTGGTGGTGGTGATAAGGCTATGGGTTCAGTTAGGCATCCAACTAATTTTGGACATTGAGACGTCGTCTGAGGGAAGCTTCTATGTGGCAAGAGTGATGTTTGATAAACCATGAGGGGTAAAGGCTAGGACTTTGGAACACACAGGGATGGTTATTGGACTACTCTTCCTGCCTTAGGGGACATGGGTTATGTGAACTGAAGGGCTTTTGTGTTCCCGAGTGGAGAATGCAAGTTAACGATTGTCAATCAATTGCTTTGGTGATCAAGGAAGATTGGGCTGAGTGTGGGAAACAGGACAGGGGTCACAGGTAGCAGCCCTTTAAGAAGGAATTTTGGAGAGGACAGAAAAGTGCTGTGAGCATGTAGCAGGTATATCTTGTACTAGGCACGCCGTGTGCTGTACATTATTTCTCCTCCATTTTCCTCAGGAAAATTCCAGAAATAATACAAAAACAATCACCCAATCATAATGGATTCCTGAAGGAATGAGAAGTGACTAAGGTCTGAGCATCAGCAGGCTGAGCCAGACCAGTTCTTGGTGATGAGGGAAGTGGCAGACCTCTGGCTCCCCTCCCCCGCTCCACCCAAACCCACTCCCCACAGAGGCAGGACTGGTGGACAGGGGGCTGGTTTCATTAGGGGTGTCTTCCCCACTCATCTGGAGCTTTCTCCAAAGTAGGTAAAATTAGCAGAGGCTCCAGTGGAGTCATTAGTGATGCCCTGATTGGATTTTTACTGGGTTTGGACCAAGTTCATCATCTGAGGAATGTCGCACAAAGTGGCTGTCATATGACCTTTGAAACACAGATCGAGGCAGACTCCAAGGGCATGGAGGCTTTGTGAATAAACGCAAGTTGTATTTCAGAGTTAGCTTTGTAAGGGCACTTGTTCAACTCCTTGACATTTTAACTCTGTGAATAAAAACATTAAAGACTCTGACAAGAACAAATGCTGTCAAAGATGTGGAACAAGGGAATCCTGCCTCCCTGCTAGTGGGGGCATAGGATGATGGGATACTTTGGAAAATAGGTGGTAGGATGCGGTGTCAGTGTGACTCAGCAATTTCTCTGAGAAAGACCCCACACAAATGAGTGCTGATGTGCACAGGGTGAATGTGCAAGAACAGTGTCACTCATCAGCAGCCCTCGAATGAAAACCACCCAGATGTCCATTAGTGGTAGAGCGGATTGAAGAAAATGTGGACTTTTTATAAAATGGGATATTATACAGCAATAAAAGTTAGCTATAGCAACATGATGCAACATGGGCACATCTTAGATATATAACATTGTAAAAAGAAGCCAGACATTACAGAATAATATGATTACAAAGCGCACAAGCAAGTAAAATGGACTGATTTGTTTCAGAATATTTCCATAGGAGGTAAACTACAAGGTGAAAAAAAAAAAGAAACAGCACACAAATGAGTGAACACCATAAAAGTCAAGATAGTGAGTTACTGTAGGGAGTTGGAGAGGTCTGAGTAGGTCACCGGGGGCTGGCAATGTTCTCTTATTGTGACTTGAATAAGTGGTTACATATTGGTTTAATTTTCAACAATTTCTTAATCTACACATTTATGTCTTCTGTTTGTTATTTCATAATAAAAAAAAAGTTTTAAAAAGAAAAAAATGCAGTGATGCAACGCTCAGTTTCATTTGGATCTGAGTCCTGCTTAATAAACTAATCAGACTGGCTGATATTATCACTACCAGCATTTCACACACACACACACACACACACACACACACACACACACACACACGCTCTCACTGTCCTCAAAGAACCAGAGTTAAAACAGTCAGACTGTTACCATCCTTGGCTGGTGATTGAAAGAAACAGCCAGGGGAGAGGCTGACAACGTGGAGCACAGGCAGCTGGGAAGCAGAGGCCTGTTTGCTTCACCAGGAAGCTCCAGTTTCACCCAAGAAATGGCAGCACAGTCCCCC